AGTGGCGCAGGACGTCGGCTTGTAGACTTTCGGGTATCACTAGTCTGGCCGTTACCTCTCGGTCGTCTCCCTCGACCCTCTGACCGGGACAATACAATAGTAGGCCCTCTTCACTTATCTCGTAGTCCCTGGCCGTCTTGCTGCACGAGTGAGCGGTCTTCATGGATAGGTCGACCCAATCTCCCTTCAAGTAGGCCTTCAAATCTCGCACCCAGTCTTCTTGCTCTTGTGCCTCCCTGATTCAATCTGTCCGGAGTCATTGTATTACACCCTTTTGCCGGATTTCCCCTGACATCTTGATGGGAGCTCGAGATCGAGTAACAGCAAGCACCTAGGCCGAAGAACTTTGGTCCTGGGAAATATTAACTCTGGCAATCGATTAATCGCTTCCAAATTCGACCATTTCACTTCCGGTATCGACTTTATACCTTCCTTCTGACGCAGAGCTGTGCACGATTCCTTGAGTGGGCCATGACAGCAGCTCATTTAAAGCCCTTGCTCGTAATGGAGACAATCCTGCAGCCTTACACTCGATTTCTCCCCGCATTAGTCGTACAACTAAGTTGGAATCTCCACAGATAATCAGTCGCCGTTGTTCTAGAGGCTCTAACAGGTCGAAACTTTCCCATAGTAGTAGTCGGATCAGTCGAAATTCGTCATCATCAAGAAGTGGACCCATCACGGAGAGAAATTTGTCGCGGTTGACGGTGTCAAATGCACGGGGTTAAACAAAGGTTTGTATTTTACACACCTGCCACACCAATGTGGTGTGGCTGTACCTTGGGTAGGCTTGATGTGACCGTACCTAAGGAACGAAGGGTCGCATTGTGGCAGAGAGCCACGTGGTCACTATACTTATTTAAAGTAGAGTGACTATGCATGTCTGCATACTAATAATAGGCTATAGAGCCAGTAAATAGTGACTAACACTAAGTATAGAGTAGGCGCTTCTATATTTAGTGTTAACAGATAAACATAAATATAAATCAGTTTCAAACCTGCTCTATAAGCATCACTGCTTGAGCGTACTATTCCTCCTGAGGAATTAAGTATCTTTGATACTAGTCTCTTTGAGACCTGGTTAATACCGATAGCACAAGCTTACGAGCTAGCCTAGGAGGGTTAAGCACCCTAAGACGTAGAAGCTCTCTGAGCTTGTCTTCTTGTGCACATAGTACATAAGTAGCGTGGCTACAGTACCTCAGCTACATCTGGTAGCACTTGTAGTCAATTCCGCACCTGGGTTTGCGACTACTTCTCTGTGTGAGAATGGACATCGATGAGATGTCAGCGGTTGGCCTGTCACAGGCACAACAAGAAGGGTTGCAGAAGCTGCTCTCTATACTTGGCCCTAAGGGCGTGGAGTACCTCATCGCCCAGGGAAGCGAAGGAGAGGTTAACAAGCGTATTATATGCTTGATGAGTATAATAAAGCTCTAGTCGAGCATGTAAAGGCACAAATGCCTTTTTTGCGCCTTTGCCCATGGCGACTATGGCGCAAGAAGTGGTCCGCAGACCAAAACCCATACAAATGGAAGTCGATAAGTTAGACGGCAAAGAAGGTAATAACCTTATGCTTTGGTTCCAACAAGTCGAGTCGGCTATGTTTGTAGCCGACATCACCTATGAACCGCACCGTGTGGGCTTTGCCACGGGCAAGTTAGGTGGATTAGCCAAACAGTGGGCATTCACATGTGGTGCATCATTGCAAGATGCTTTTCCCACATGGGCCAATCTGAAAGTTCAGATGACCCGGCAGTCTGCACCTCCAAACCAAACACACCGTAACCGGTCGCGGCTTTTGGCGAGTCGCCAAGGCAAGCCTGAGCTTGCAGCATATGTACAAGAGTTGAGAGCTCTCATTGCTGCCATGGTCATAGACCCTATGCCTGAGACAGTGACCGTCACGGTCTTCATGGAGGGCCTCCGAGTTGGCGTTGCCAGAACGAAAGTCTTCCGGGTAAACCCGTTCTCATTCGAGGAAGCTGTTGGAGTGGCATGGAACGTCGAGACTAACTTTAAGGCCGCTAGGCCTGAAACTTATAACTACTCGTCTTATGGGTCTGTACCCATGGACTGCAGTCAAGTGGAGGATGAAGAAGCTGAGCTTCAAGCTGCGGAGCAGCAAATTGTGCGCAGATGTTATATGTGCAAGAGCACAGACCATTTAATGGAAAAATGCCCTGCAAGTAAGGCATATTTGGCCTCAAAGGGCCGACGCCCCATGGGTAAATCTTCTGGTTTGCCGCGGGGAAACGGCGGAACTCAGTAGGCGCGGGGCGCCTTACTGGGGAAGAACGGAGTTTTGTTCAACCTATAGGAGGTAGAAGGTAACAAGGCCCAGCCCCAAAGAGATCCGAACTCTCATAAACGGAACGAGAATGCAAGCCAGGCTTGCTAGTCGTCGAAGGGACGGTTAAGGGCTTTGATAAGCCATGGATCATTTTGATCGATTCGGGGGCATCAGGCACTTATGTGCGCCGTGCCACCGTGGAAGGTAGTCAGCAGTATGCTGAAGCGCTTGTAGCGCGTGAAAGTGACACAGTCACAGTTCGCTTGGCGACGGGTACGCGTGTTACGGCACCCAAAGTCCCGATGGACTTAAATGTAAAGTCTTGGACTATAACAGCATGGAACGCTGTTTGGTCTTGGCTTATTTCCGTCTAGACGCCTCTTTCTGAAGGTATCAAATTGATCATCAGAGGGTGAGCGAGCAGACCTGATGAAATTTGATGGCCTCGCACGAGAACCAACACTCAATAAACATGCTGCAAGAGTCCCATACATGAGGGCGGGCGGAAGACGCATGGTTGTGTAGCAGACGCGTTGACTGTGTAGTGAAAATACTATTTTGAAATACAGTGTGAGAATCAGATTTTAAGAACCGCTGGAGATACAGTACTTTATCGTATGTTTGAATCTAGTCAGTCGGTTACTGGATAGGCAAAAACATGTGTACCAAAATACTATAGAAGGGCTTCTGAAGGGTATACAATCAAGGTTACAAGGTGAATATTGTTTGCTACAAAAGTATGTTTAGTGAGTAAACAGTGCGACGTGGCTATATCAAAAAGGAATTATTTGAGACAAATGTCTCTCGTTGAGACGAATCTTTACGAGAATAAAAGACAAGAGGGCTGTAGCAGAGAAGAGACGGCCTGATGGGATATAGGAGCTGTTGCTGCCTCATTAAGAAATGACGGGCAGATTTGTGTGTCACATTGAAAGTCCAACATGAATCGCAGAATAGACGGGGTAATGCAAGCGTACAACAAATGCGAGAGGACACCCTGACCTTTAAATTGTAAGGATTTGTTAGCTTAGACTGTAAGTTGATTGTGATGCTGTCCGAAACGTATCGGACTGAGCTGATAAAATGGTAAGAGTAGAGTTGGCTCTTTTTCTTACGTCCGAACTAGTGTGATGCGGCGCTCTTAACTCGTATCGTATGATCGATCTCCTACGTATGATTTTCTTGCTAGAGAGTGACACCAACGACAGTCGTCATTTTAACAAAGACTGCACCAGCGCATCGCTGACCAAAAATGACACGGTGAAGTTTTGAAGGCACTTTGCTGAAGAATGTTTTATTTAGTAACAATTCGATATCACTGTATGCTATTCGACGATAATCCTGGTCGTCAAATCGGTCCAAGTGTAGCATCGATCCAGTCCGATTTCATGTGGCAAGTTAATGTCGCAGCAACAAAAGGAAGCTGGTACTTGATCATCTCGAGACTAACAGATTATCGCCGGATATTAAAGGAATAGACGAGTGGATGAGTGCGAGGAGGTTCGCTAACGATGGAAAATGATTTCGTTGCTTGTCGCAGCGTGCAAGCTCTTGTCGTGTATTACTGATGTTCCGGTGGCTCTACTTTTGTCGTGCTTGAAGGATGGACATAGACTGCTTCACCATGTACTCGTAATCTTCCTCAGCGCAGTGATCCTCAATTCATGAGCCCTTCATTTACACTCCTTGTCTCCGTTGTGGTCGCAGTCTTTACGAGATCATGCTTCGACTCTCACTTTCCACGAACGTAGCTCTCTCGACGGCTCGCTGTCGAGAATTCTACCATACGCTGGAAACACTCTGATTTTAGTCGGCGTGAAGCTACCTGTTTTCCTGCCAATCGACAGCTTCAAGTACCTTCACGCATATCGCCGAAAATTGGCTGCCGTCGCGTGCTGCTACTCTCTGCTTGACGTATTTTCGGGCGAAGCGAGCCATGTCAACTTTACTTGAGCTTATCTACTGACTTCGAAGAGTTGTGGGCGCATTCTCTCGTCCAAGCGTTGCTTAAGAATGTACATGCCATGGACGATGTAATTTTCGAGAGTTCATTGCGTTTATAGCATTCAGCGGTTTTTGTTTATATACGCGTGCGTCAAGCTTCCAAACCAACCAACACAAAAGTACATCATGCGATGACTGAGTCTTGCTCGATTAAAAAATCATCCTACGTGGTACGCTTGTGACTAAATACGCTATCCACTCGTTGCTGCATTCTTTAAGGCCTTGTCATCTTGTTGGGTTTCTTTCAAATTGTTTATGCATGTGTGCACAAAGGAGAGCAAAAACAGCGTCTTCATCGAAAGCATAGCTCTGAAACAGAAGACCGTCGGTCGACGTGGAAAGATAAAGATGAAGGACTAATTTGACCTGGAAGATCATGTAGCTTCTTGTTTCGCCAGACTGATTGCTTCGTGAGTTTGCTTCGTGTCTCATGCTGAGTTCCTCTGTCTTCGGCGCCCGCTGCCATAGTTCGTGGTAGAACGTCTTTGTGATGTGAACAATGTAGCCGCTTATCGTCGTCATTCATCATTCGAATTTTGCTTGCAATCGCTGAAGGTCTTGCACCTGCGTCTTCTTTTTGAAAATGAGCACCCTATTTATTCGCCATGGCTGCGGAGGATTCGGCTTCGAGCGCTAATCTGGTTTGCAGAAAACGCGGAGGTGTGGGAATACCTGAAGGTGCATGGCCTTTACGAGGCTTTTTTCAAAAGATTTTGGCATCGAGGATTTTGCTTGGTCGAATACTCACACTACCAAAGTTACCATTCTTTCCATGTAAACATGTCTTCGATGTTCGTGCCTGTTTACCAGACGCCAGAAGATTTTTCTGCCTGTCACCGGTTCCAAGCGGTGTGCCTGGTTGTACGGTTACGTTTCTCAAAAATCTACTCTGAAGCAGTACATTGTCTTCAGAAACCAAGTCATTTGCTGCGCCATTTGATGATACTGTGTTTGTAATCGTTGCTAGGTGTTGCCGCGTTGTAGGTTGACGAATAAGGGAGCATCAGTACATCGATACAAATGACACCGCTCGTTTCTACAAAATCGATACCTGAAGAGAAGTTTCCAGGTCTGCTACTTTTGAGGTCGTTTCAAGTACTTTCTTACTCCTTCTGGTACCAATTCATTCATTGTAAAAAGCGTGTCATTCAAAATTATACGTTGTGTGCCAAGCATATATTCCATACCTGTTGAGTTCATCGGGCCACATTGAGATGTATTTCCGATTGCAAAACAAAGCTGCACATTGACAGATGATGTACTCAAAATCAGACGCAGTCACGCCAACTTACCAGTAACAATCACGTGCTTTTTCCTCTCTCTTTGGCGAAAGAAACACTAAGCGACGTCTGTGTACGGATTTAATCATGAAAAAATGCAACGTATTAGCTCCTCCTTCCTCTTCGTAATAGAACCAATGAGACCTTGCATTACCGTGATTAGTTAGCTAAAGAGGTATTCGAAATCGCTCAAGCAGTGTTCCAGTCTTCCAACGCCAAATGGGTGTAATAAATGCAGCTATTTCTCACGATACGATTTCTAATGCCACCAATAAGTCAGCTACAACATTCATTTGATTCCTAAAGTTCCACAAACTCCACTTGTTGTACTTGCTGGTTTCCAAAGCTTGCAGCACCAGCGCCAGAACAAACCGATTCGGTATAGTGCCCACATTTGCTACAATACAGCTGTAAACTTCTTCGCTGTTAACTAAGTAAAATTCGAGAATAAAGCACCACAATAGTCAGTCCAACACTCTCAACTCAACCTCGGCATCTCGTTGCTCACCTTATTCGAGCCTCCTCAAGCATCCAATAGCGTTGGGAACACGTCTCGCACGAGGATCTTACATCTCATAGGCCCCAGTATTTTTGTCAAAAGAGACAACGTGAAACAGGCTTCCTTAACAACTGTCGAGCGCAGGTCCATCATCGTCACACGGAAAGGCTGCGTCAACGTCTGTACGTTCTCAGACGTAAAGAGACTTACGGCGTCGTTTTAGATTTTTAAATTTATGTTTGATCTGTTCTGATATGTTCTGTGTCTACGCTCAGAGAGAAGGTAGAAGATACAGCGCAGCTCCTGAAAGGCCATACACTTACTTGTCTTTGCACTCTTCCTCTGGTTGGATGCGTCATTTGCCTAGCTCCATCACGGCATTCTTCTTGCCAGAAAAAGACTGATCACATCGAAATGTAAATACATCGTCAAGCAAAGGTAAGTAAGTTTATACAAGTCAATGTAGTAATCAAGTGAAGACGCACCATCAAGTTCATGTCCGGGCCTTGCATGATTCACAATGCGGAATTGGAAGAATGATTGTCCGTGCAACTTGCGAACTACGCGCGAATTTTGAGTCGGAATGCTTTTGACCAATCACAAAGTTTTGCGAAGAGTACCGTTTTATGGTTGGGTAATCGTTTCTCCGACCCGTTTTCAATTGACTCGTTTTCAGCACATATCCGATTTAACTCAAAAGCACGTAATTTTTGGAAATAATGACGCCGGCAAAGATTGAGGGCGCGGTGCCCAAAAAGGTGTACATGCATTATGAGGAAGGAGAGGAAGCTCAATCTCTAACACTTAAGATGACTCTTCCATCAAAATGGGCGGGCCACACTGTGGACTACCTTAAGGAGGTGCGTCGTCATGGAATGTTCTGGAACCGGCTGGAAGAATAAAGGCTAATGAAGGCTTTACGTTGGCAGTTTTTTGTGGAACACTACAATAACAAGAAGCCAGATAACATCTTAGATAGTGCAAAGGTGCATTTGGAGAAGCAAGGCAAGACGCTGCTGTTTGGTGACGAGCTGCTGCATACGGCCGTGCAGAAGTACGACGACCTGTTTCTTAAGGTTGGCGCCTCAACACTCAAACCTGTGCGGGTGATGGGTAAGAGTCTCGTAATTTATATCGTTTTTTCTGCGAGGTATAGTGTTTGAACTGCTTTGCTATTGTGTAGAGAGTGTGGCGCCCGCTTTGTCTGACAAGAGATATCTGCAGTGCAAGAACCACGGTTGCCAGAAGAAATTCTTGGAGGAGGAAAACAATGACCAGGCTTGTCGTTGTCATAGTTTGCCACCGCTGTTTCACGACATGAAGAAGGGCTGGCAATGCTGTTCGTCAAAAATGGTGTACGACTGGGACGACTTTGAGAAAATCGAGCCATGCATCATCTGCCGCCATTCCACGGTTGGACCTAACGAGCAGTTTGCAGCATCGCCTACAGTGTCAGCGGCAGAGAATGCCGCGGCAAGCTCTGCAGGCGTTGCTACTTCACAAACAGCGGCTCCGCTCAAATCGATTGACGACTACAACCAGAAGAACCCGGGCGCGGTGACAGCCGTTTCTGCAGCTAAGGAGAGCCAGAAGACGGCACCTCCAAAACGTAGTGATGGCAAGGCAAAATGTGTCAACTTTGGCTGTCAGGAGGAGTACTTGGTGGCGGAAAACAACGATACTTTGTGTCGACACCACGCTGGCGCACCCGTTTTCCACGACGCCAGCAAGTACTGGAGCTGCTGCCCGAAGGACGTCAAGTACGACTTTGACTCGTTCCTCAAGGTGCCTGGCTGTGTCGTGTCCGCGCACACGGATGTGAAGACGGTTTAATCGGAGTCGGTCGACACAACATGCCGTGGAGATGAGAGCGCGGCCTTTTCAGCCCTGTTGCGGTGATGCGTGTCAATTTCGGGTGTGTACTGTTTGGGTCATCTGTAGCATCTAGCTTGAAGAAAAACCATCGATGTGCACTGTCTCCAGAATGATCTCTAGGTTTGAATTCAATGTACTTCACATTGGTACTGTTGCGTTGCGCATACTGGTAATGACTCATAAAGACGCCGTCTGTATTCTTGACGTTTGCAGCCACCTTTGCGCAGCATTTATATCGATTTCTGGTGCCAGACATTCTTGAGGCAAGCTTTTTGCCGCTCTGATCGCTTTGCATCCGAAGACATGTTACAAAACAAGATCTGTGAGTTGTCGTAAACAGTAAACGATCTCCTGTTTGGGCTTTCAACCACCACGCGGAGTGTAACGCAATAATCGGGGGTGACTTGCTGCATCTTGCCGTCACCTGACAAAGTCAAATGCGTGCAAGGCCACATTGGGTTCCGTGTATCTTGCGATCGTAATTGCGAGTCAAGCGCAGAAGCCTTGCTACAGGAGAGCGCAAACCGATGAAACGCGCGTAGGATGTATGGAAGAGGATGATCGCTCACGTTTTCTGTTGTGAGGACTCAATACGAGATATATCTTTCAAGTCAAACGTTGCCGACTTGATTCTTGAAAAGAGCACAAAACTGTGGTTAAAAGGTAGCTGCTTAAAACAACCATATTTTCTTCTATAGAAGCATGTATACCTTGACGAGCGGCCTTTACTGTGTGTACGCGCACGTGCACCGTTATGGCTCTGGATGCTGCTTCAGGCCGGACTCATTTTTGTGTCTTTGCATCTATCTTAGAAACATCCCGTGGAAGTAAAGCAGACGGGTGTTTCTTCAACGGTGCCAACTTGGTCAACTCGAAATATTCTTCGACATCTAATGCCATCTCCGTCGACTCCAACGCCTCGTTTCCTCTGTTCGCTACCACCTGCGTCTTCATGTTCACTACTGGTCGCGGAGCCTCCACTACTGCTGCTGTCTCGTACATACGACGCAACAACTTTTGGAAACGTGTAAACTTGTTGGTCGCATGTGAAATCACGAGCATTGCCAGTATCGAATTCAAAACGCCCACAGCAATTAAGAAGTAAAAACAGAGTCCAATTTGCCAACACATTCTACCAGAAGTGCTCTCCAAGCAGCGATTTAACTGGTCTTGGTAAAATGTGGAGCTGATAATGAGTCGAAATACGAATACATACCAAACCATCGCCGCCACCAAACAACCGACGCCGTTAAAAAGACACAAGTGCATGAGATATAAATCTGCAATAGTGCAGTGAGTCGTAGTGATGAGATGAATGGCCCAAATTACTACCACCACAGCAACGCCAGCTATCATCGACAACATCAATTGTAAAAACGTCATCGCTGTACCACAATACACCTCCATCACTTGACAATATTGTTTGTGCAACTCGCCCACTGCTGCATTACAGAAAGAATGCTGCGTAGAACTGACACCAAGCACAAGAAAAACCCACAATCAATTAATATCCATATATCATGTACATACTTATTTGTAATTTTCTAACACGATACCATTGTGTACCGTAGGTATCTACTCCGCTCTCTTGAGGTGGTACCCATAAAGCATTTCCTGGATCAAATCTTGGATCACCCACATGTTCTGTGTAATTAAGCCATATCCCTATACCCTGAGCGTAATAGACGGTCTTGTTTCGCTCACCAGACTGCACTAGCCACTGGGGCATGAGCGTCGTGTACCATGTCAATAGTACCAACACGACAGCAACTATGACCACTGAAATGAATGAAGAAACATAGTCAATTAAGAGATTAATTGCAATGATGTGGAGTCAAGTTGCGTACCTGAGAGCTGCAGTAGATTCTTCATAGCGGGTGAAAAGGCCAAGTGCAGCTTTTGATCGATGGATTGTTTATGTGAACTTGTTTCTAACCACCTGTGCACATTATGAATCAATTTTATTACTAAAATAACACACCTTGTTAGTAATAAATGTGATAAAAATATGTATTACAGCTTCGATGGTAGGTGTGATTGTAGCAAATGTAGTACACCATTACACTAAAACCTCATTCTGTCAGCTTCAGCTTAAGCTTTTGGCTAGTCAAAAACTCCTTCAATATTATTGATGACGTCAGTCTGTGTGTTATAAGCAAGCTATCACATCTTAGTACTCTATGGCTGGCAAGAGACATCATATAGTTCGCATCACGAAGTGCTTTAAGTGGTCGACCCGAGAAGATTGATCGTCACTTGCAAGACGCAATGACAGCAAGTCAAGAGTGGTCAAAACTCCATCGTATCATCTCAATTTTGCTCGTTTTTATCAGGAAAGAATGGATGGTGAGTGTTGTCTGCAGACCATTCATATCACAGGGTGGAATGATCGTGTTGAAGTTGAAGTCAACGAGAGTGATTGTCATGTTGTCACGCTAAGTACGAAAGGAAACATTCGCTAGCTTGTACTTGGCATTTGTATAGTGTTTTCCGCACTGAATAGTTAGTTTTATTTCGCATTCCGCACTCTCACACATGAGCAAGAAGCAGGACACGCTTTGGACGGCCTTTAGACGGCAGCGACAGCCATCTATCAAGCGCCAAAAGCTACAGACGATAGAGGAGACGGAGATATCAGTGGCTCGAAAGAAGCAGTGTCGTCCGTTAAGCAAAGACGATGTAGATGCTGGTACTTTGACGGATACAGATCGATTCTCAAGAGACTGCTATAAGCGAGAGAGATGATGCTGATGCTTTGATACATTTAGAAACGGAGAAGAAGATGAGTGCTGTTGTTGTGGAGGAAGAGGAAGAGGAGGAGGACAAGTGGGACCAAGTAGAGCGTAAGACACGAGAAATGCACCATGAAACATCCAAGTTGACTGAGAGAAAAGAAGTAAGTAGAAGAGCAGCAAGCTGAGTGTATAATTAGGACTAAAAAATGTACTTATGATTGCTATTGTATAGATTAAGGACAGTGTCCATGGACTCATGACGTTTGAGCCAATTTGCATGAAGATCATTGATACATTGCAGGTATATTCTGACCATCATATTAGTCTTTTGTAATTGCGACTGATTATCTTGAGAATGTACTTGCTTGTGTTTCTTCTATTGTGGCAGTTTCAGCGGCTTCGTAACTTGCACCAACTTGGGGCTGCTAATTTTGTGTACATTGGAGCAACGCACTCGCGCTTTGAGCATTGTCTTGGGGTAGCGTATTTGGCTGAAAAGATGATTGAAAGTATTCGTTTGCATCAGCCATGGCTGCCTATTACAAAGGAGGACGTTATGTGTATTAAAATTGCGGGGCTGTGCCATGATCTCGGCCACGGACCATTCAGCCACGTCTTTGATGGGCTGTTCCTGGACCAACTCCGGAAGAAAAACATCATTGATGAGGCGTTCAAGTGGTCGCACGAGAAAGGATCAGTGGACATGTTTGACTTTCTACTGTCAGAAAATGGCATCTCAGTCGAGAATTACGGCTTGACCCAGCAAGACGTGGTGTTTATCAAGGAGCTGATCTGGGGCGGACCTTTGCCAGACTCCAACGGCGTTGTTTGCGGACGACCATCTCGAGATCAGCAATTTTTGTACGACATCGTCAATAATGCTCACAGTGGGTTGGACGTGGATAAGCTGGACTACTTTATGCGTGACTCACACTATACTGGTGCCAAAATGTCGTGTGACACGGACTTGCTAATTCGCAACGCTCGGGTATTGGTCGATCGCGAAGACCCCAATGAAAACATGGTGGTTTGCTTCCCCGAAAAGCTGGTGGGACAGATCATGCAGGCTTTCCGCACACGCTACGAGCTTCACCAATCTGTATACCAGCATAGGGGAGTTCGCGCTATCGATTACATGCTGTGCGACCTTCTGGTTTCAGCAAACGACCACTTGAAGATCAAAGGAAAGCGGATTTCTGAGATCATGTGCTCGATGAAGGCTTATCAGCATTTTGACGATCGTGTGCTTCTGAAAATTCAAGAGAGCGATTGTCCCGAACTATGGGAGGCTAAGTCGCTATTGAATCGCATTTTGTCAAAACCGTACTACAACTTTGTTGGCAAGACAGCGCTGACGGAGCATTCGCAGCAGAAATCGACAGACATGCTTTTAAACGAGGTATTGCGGTGCTCAGCGCGCCGGTTACTGTTGAATGAAAAAGACGCAGTCATTCTAGAGTTCATGCGTATCCACTACGGCAAAGGGAAGGAAGATCCTCTCCAGCAAATTCGGTTTTACTCGAAACATGCGACGGCAAGCTCCAGATGCTTTTGCTTGCCCGAGTGCGCGTATGAAATGTTTAGCCCGCGGAAGTTCGAAGAATTCACTATTCGGATCTTTGTGAAAGAACCAAATCTGGTACGGTGTCACTTCACACCACTTCACTTCGTTTTCTTGTGTTTAACTCACTGCCCCGCGTGTTTGGTTAGGTAACACCCGTTCGAGAGGCGTTTGAGAAATGGTGCTGCAAGTACAACAAGTCTCAGATCTTTCCACTCCAGTTTCAAGCGTAATCACAAGCGCATCGAGCTTTGCTTGAGCTGCACGAGTAATTTAACTTCGAAGTAAACGTACAGTAAGGTAGACTCATGACAACGTACGTCAAATCCCCTTTCAAGCCAACAGTATCAACTTACTAAGTGAGTATCTACGCGTCTACCAAGAACAAAGCATGAAAGGCGCGCTTATGGCTTTGACAGTGCCGCCGTCGCAATGTAGGTTGCTACCTTACGCTCCAAAAGAGACTGGTCATCGTGCTGAGGAAGTGCGATCTGAAAGGCATCACATAATAGAAGTGTCAGCCACAAACGTCGGCGCAAACTATCAAAACATCGTACTACTTACATCTGAGGGCACCCCATAAATGTACGAAACGCCGTTGGCGTCACCAGTAATCACGCTCTTGCCGTCAGCGCTCCATCGAATCTTGTTTAGCGACTTCTCACTAATCTTCTCTGAGACTACAGACACCTCAGTGTCTTTCAGAATATTCCAAATGCTCAAAGCACCACTACTATCAGCAACTGCGAACAGCGCAGGGTGGACCGGCGACCATCGTACATCACTAATGTATTCGCTGGAAGGCTCAAACGAAAGCATTGGGGACTCAGGATGCTCACTACTCCACAACTTGACCGTTGAGTCCAGTGAGCAGGTAAGCAAGAGACTATCACGGTGCATTGGTAACAGTGGATTAAAGTGCATTGCTGTAACGGGCCCAAAATGAGAACCTTCCTTTGAGACTGCCTCAACGATAACCTCGCGAACGAGGTCTCCGGTGCTACTTCCAAGAAGACTGCCTCGGTTTCGCTTGTCAGTATCCATACTGCCGCTGTCGTCACCAGCTCCAGGCTTCTTTTTCTGCTGGTCAACTTTTGTCGAGTACAGTTTGCCTGCCTCCGTCCCTATATACAACTCCTTGATCTCCTTGCCCAACACTGCAAAAGAAGTCACGGAAGCTTCCGTTTTCTTGTCGGAAGCATTTGCAGACGTGTAGTTGGACACAATAGAGAGCGAAATGCGTAGATCCAGCATATCGATCGGCTTTTGCAAATGATCAATATCCCATATGCATACGCGACCGTCAGTGCTTGCAGATATCAGACTACAATATTCATTTACAATACATTAGTACATTGCTCTAACCGCACACCGAGACGAATACTGCACTTACGTATACGAGGTCTTCGTTCCTGCAACAGCCATGGCGTAGATTGGGTGGGTATGACTGAACGCCGACAAAGCAGTCTTCTGAACCGGTGCACTTTTGGCGCGTGTGTCCCATACCACAATCTGACCCGAATACGTGCCTCCAATGATAACATGCCGATCAAATGGATTAAAGCACGCGCTGGTTACCTGTGAATGGCATGTGAACCGGTACTCTGGTCGCCCTGGCAATGCTGTGGACCATAAGAGCACCACACCTTCCGTAATAGCCGCTACTTCCATCAACGCTACCTTTGGAGATTTGCCCATCGTGTCCCACTGAGACAACAAGCCGTCGTCCACAGCTTTTTCCTCCAAAAAATTGCGGGCTGTATAAGCCACGAGTGTCAGTTCTGGGTAAAAGGGCGACACATCTACATCAGTTACTGCTCTGTGGTTAGACCATTTGTCGTCCACAAAGACATGTTGCTGCTTGAGTGACTCAATGGCCTCTTCTGCAGCTGCATCCTGCTCCACATCTTCCCCATAGTCAATCATAATATCAAATTTGCTCGACGTGCTTAAAGCTCGTTCAATAACCCGCGATGCCTTGTTCAGGAACGTCTCCATAGCATCCGACTGTAACAAAGCAGTCCTATCCTCAGCTGATAAAATCATCGTAGAGCTATCTATGGTAGCCATTTGCAAAGTGTCTACTGGCAATTGGTTAGTAGTGCGTAGAGACGATGTGTCGAGCGTCGAGTCGTCCATAGTTCCTATCGGTTTATGAGAATCGTCATCCGTGTTGTCCACGTCCATCATATCAGACACAACGTCAGCCTTGACAATAATCTCATGCTCCAACGTAATATCTGTCTCTGTATGCTTTGTATACGTCTCCACAAACGTCGGCTGGATGTGCATCTCGGCCACATTGTTCACAGTAGATAGCGATGATAATTTCTCTGCTAGGGACAGAGTGTTGATCAAAGTCTGACTTTTCCCTTTGTTGTCAACTTCTTTTCCCTCATCGTTCTTGGATATCTCGTCGTTTTCCCCAGATGTTTTCAAAATATTCTGGATAAAATCGTCAAATTTGTTCTCCTGTTGTCCAATAGCTTGGTTGACACTCTCAGAAGCAGAAGATAGTTCCTCTGCAGCTCTTACTGCAGCTTTCCTCTTACGAATCTCCTCTAGCTTCTTTCGCTTGGCCTCTAGCTCTGCCGCATGCTTGGCACGCACCGAATCCATCGCAATTCTTTTCTAACTCGGATTTGATAGATAAAAAATCAACGCCAAAAGCAAGATAAAAACTCTCAAAAAATAGATAGTCGTAACCTTGTTGTAACCTTGTTACGAATATCTATTTTTTGAGAGTTTTTATATATATACTAACAGATTTAGAAATATAAAATCACTAGAAAAGACGGTTAGGGCGCTGCGACCATTAGAACAGGACAGAGGGAAGTAAAACGAAATGCGTCATGCGTATTAATCTCTATTGAGTATTCTCAGGGTTTTTTAATTTGATTGATGCACTCGATGGACATCGATTGATGGCTCAATGACTAGTACGCTTTCATTGAGAAAAGACTCGATAGTTCACTTTTGGATTCAAGGTCGAGGATATCAGTGAAATGGGGAATCTTTTTGGCTGCTACAAGACGAATAAACTGGATACAGTCACGTCACCAACAAGCGATGGAGTTGATCACGTTACAAAGTTTGATGCCAATGAAAAAAAGCAACGTGGAGAATTGGCTGATCACGCTGTTCGTGAGAGCAACAAGTCGAATCGTACCGAAGGTAAACGGGAAATCACGATTAGCAATCGTGATATTCCACTCAAGCAAACTGCATCGTTGGATTCCGGTACGAGAGAAGCGGTTGATAAAGAGAGTGGTCTCTGACCAATTTGGACGGGATGGTAGTTAATGACTAAAAGAGTTGAGAATGTCAGAGTGTTAGTGATTAACGACGCATAAAGAACGTTTTTGTTTGATGCCATCACCATTAAACCTTGTGTTTTACCGTTATGTAAGCTTGTGTAAGCGTGTTGTAAGATTTTACCAGACCTTGCCTGACAGGTATAGCTTGGACGTGACAATCATATCGTAATGTATCCGCGATAGGGTTTATGAGCAGATAAACTAGGAGCAATGATTATTTGTGCCGATGCAAGTTGAAATTAATCCAACGTTCCCCTAGCAACAGCTCTGTAAACACCCGACGATGATCTGGAGGAGGCAGTACCCGAACGTCAGTGTAAAGTTCATCATCATCAAATTCGAACTAATGATGCAAGTAAACAAGCACCAATTGAGAGTAACAAACAGTCAAAGCGATGAGATTGATCTGTTGCAGGAAGATATCGCATCAGAATAAAGTACTACGAGTTTTGCAAAGCTACACACGTACATGAAACCGACGAAAAATCTCCAATGATGAATGTATCAGTAACATGTTGGGGGAGCCCTTAACAGCCATTTTGCAAATGCTACAGCTGCATCGACATAAACATGACGTGGTTCCATTCATTACACGTACAGCGTGTTTGTCTGTATATTGTCATTGCCTCCCACGTAAACCAGTCTTGTGGATCGGACAATGGTAAACTCACAATTTTGCCAGAGCTTCTCCACGTTCCGCGTACCGTTGCCAGTTCATATACCATCTCGTGCTTTTTCCCTGACGTCGCTTGATATCGCTTCAGTTCTTTAACAAATTGGCATCTGCGACGAAACAGAGAACCTGTCAGTATATTTTGTCATACATCCTCATTAATGCTTCTGCTTGCATTTCTTTTCTATGATAGTGAAGGACTATCGGTGGCGTTGACGTTAGCTGGTTGTCTTCGTAATTGACTTGACGATGACGATGATGATGAAGAAAGCGAAGAACGAGACTGTTTGGACCTGAACGATCGCGCATTAGGGGACACGAACGAAGATGCATGGGAACTGCTTTGTAGCTCCTCAATTTTTCGATCGCGCTGGTGGCCAACATGAAACAGAGTAATGAGACAAAAGACTCAACTTTGACCACATGAAATGTTTTGTTACCTGCTCAATTTCGCGCTCATACTTCGCTGCGAATCGCTTGAACTTGCTGCGTGATCGCTCCAATTGCTGTAAATATACGAGAAAATTATTACTGTTTCCAATACAGACTCGCAAAAAAGCTTCAAAGTGAACGACTTAGCTACAGGTACCTTGATAGTGTCGTCTTGCTGAGCTAAACGGTCTTCGAGCTCTTGGCACTTTATTTGGGCTTCTTCGAGAGCATGAAGGGGCAAGAACAAGGATGCACTGGATGACTTTCCACCAGATTCTGGAGTGCTTCCATTTGCATTCGATGACGGGGAAGTAAGCGGAGGTGGGGAGAAATGCTTTCGCTGTGCACTACTCGCTTCCTTCATCAGCGCGCGAAGCTGGTGACCAAAAGACGCTGGCGAGTGGTTAAGCTCGGACATCTCCATTTCGGACGCAAAACCTGTTACTTGTCGCTGATGATAAGCTTGGATTTCTGCAGCCATGGCATTGCGTTGCTCCTCTAAGTTCGATATCATGTCTTCGTTTGTCGCAATTTTTTGACGAAGAGTAGAAGCAACTTCTTCAAGGCTTCGCCGCTGACACTGCTCGTCTCGCAACTTGTCCTGCAGAGATTTCATCTCGTACTTACAGTTGCTCAATTTTGCCTCCAAATGCACAATTCGCTGTGACACAGCAGCATTCTCAGCCTGAGCTCCATAACGCTGAGCAGAGATCTCAGTCGAAACCTGTTTTTGGGTATCCAGCTCTTGCACAAGCTGCTGCATTCGTGTCTGGAGATCATTTTGCTTTTCCTCACTTTTCTGAAGCTTTTCCGTAAGAAAACTAACTTGATCGCGATACGTAGCCGTTTCTGTCGTTAAGATCGTGTTCTTCTCCCTCATTGCTTTGAGCTGATTGTCAAGCGTAGCAACTTGCTTCCTCAATGATTCATTGACGACGCTAAGCTCTTCTTGCAGCGCTGATATCTCCGCCCGTGCTTTTTGCATTCCCTCATGTTCCTGGATCAAAGACCGGTATGTATGCCGCAGGTCCTCCAGCTCAATCTGCAGTGTGTCTCGTTGTCGCTCAATTTCTCGTGTAGTCTGCTTCATAGTTTTGGCAGACTGAGAATGAGAGTGCTGCATTCGTCTCAGGCGGTTGCACTCCTCACTAATTGCTTGATTCTCTACCGTCATATTCTCCAAATCTTGTGCAAGTGCCGCCAATTCGACAGTGTGCACTCCCTTCAAATGTTCCAGACGGCCAATTTCACTTTCGAGTGTCAAGCAGTGAGCTTGCATCTTGCTCAGCTTGTCTTCGGATTCGTTCAATTTGTTCACCACGTTGCTCATCTGCTCTTGAAGCGCAGCAGCATCCGATGTTTTTGCCTGCACGGCTTTGCGAAGCTCACTGGCCTCTGTTTCAATCGCGTGGTGTTTCTCAGTCAAAGCATCCAGCTGATCATTCATAGCATCCTTTTCACCATCCAGTGTTCGTGTCAGCTTCTTCAACGACGTGATCTCACTATTCTTTGCCGAGATTTTGCTACTTAACGAGCTGACCTTAACATTGAGATCAGTAATTTCCTGTTGGCGCTGCTGAATCTCTTGTTGTCGCTGCTTTGTCTGAAAAACTAGTTGGTCTCGAGACGACTCTATTTGCTCAACCAGCAACTTAGAGTTCTCCAAAGCTTCCGTTTTCTCAGTCAGTGCACGATCCTTGGTTTGAATCTCCGCTCGTAGCTGCTTCAACGCAATCTCGCGTGCGCAATTTGTCTCCTTCGTTTGCAAATGCTCATCTTGAAGTAACACCAATTGTGTCTGGACGCTTTTGTGGCTAGCCTTTTCTTGTTCTAGTCGTGTTTCCAAATGGTGTAAATTGTTTTGCTTTAGCTTCAATTCGCTTTGAAGTTGGCGGACCTGGTTCTTTAGGTCACTGATCGAGCTCTGGCTCGACTGAAGCGCGTTTTGACCAGACGAGAGCGAAAGCTGTTGAGCCTGGACCTCGTTTGATAGTTTTTCAAATTCGTTTTGGTAATGGTTCCACGTCTGACGAGCGTTACGTAACTCCACCATTGCGTTGTCGTAATTATTCTGCAGCTCTGCCTTCTCCTTTTCAAGCCTTGCGTACTTCTTGCTCGCTACTGCAGCTTCTGCCTGCAACTTTAGGATTTCATCCGATAGCCGTTTCGCGTGCAAATCGTCATTCTCAACCCGATTTTTCAAGCTAGCAACTTGATCGCGCAGCTCCTCCACGTGCCTCTTGAGCGCTAAGGATTCATTCTGAAAGACCAGCTTATCGTTCTCAGTCTCCTCAGCTCGATCCAACAAAACCTGTGCGTAGTTCTGCCTGTCTATAAGCTCGCGAACCTTTTTGTTGCTCTCTACTAGTTGGTTATGAAGGTTAGCGGACTTGCGCTTTTCCGTCTCCAGCATGGATTCAAGGTGGCATTGCAATTTTAATGCCGTATCCACTTTTATCAGTAGCTTTTCCTTCTCATGCTCGGTCTCTTGAAACAAAGCCTTTGCATTTTCCAAGTCTTCCTCAAGATCCATAACTGGAAGCATTTGCTCATTCTTCTGCTGACAAAAATCCTGTCGTTGTTTCTCCTGCCGCGTCATTTCCTGTGTAGATACTATGTTGTTGCCATCACGAGCTTCGTCTTGCGTTCTTTGCTGCTCCACCTGCAACCCAGACGCGCTTTTGTTGCCCTCGGTAAGCTTCAACAACTGGCTTTTTTCCTGCTCCTGTTTGGTCAATTGGTCGTTCAATTGGTCACACTGGTCCCGCAAGTTAGCGTTTTCCGTATTCAGCGCTGTCAGTTGCTCTTGCATCTCCTTAATCATTTGCACATGCTGTTCCAACTGTCGCTCTATATTTCTCGTATGTTGCATGTCCACAATAATTCTTTCCTGCAACTGTGACATATCAGAATCCGCCATATCAGTTGACACTGAGCCAATTGATTTCATAGCTAGCACGTGTTCCAATTGCGTCTTCAGTCGAGCTACTTCTTCGTCCTATATATACAAAAACGTAGAGCACAAGACCATCACATTAGCACCAAGAGCTGTTTCATAATAAAAAGAAAATCCATCCCTTCTCCACCTTTGCATTACATTCTTGCGTCATCTGAACGTAAAGAAACTCTAACCTGTTGACGTCATCATGCCGTTTCTGAAGCTCTCGTTTCCATGCTTCTTCTCTCTTGATAATATCTTCTTCTTGATGAATACGTTCATCTTGCAACTATCATACAGATAGAAACCACATTAATATTACCCCAATCTCTGTCTCTCATCTCTCGCTCTCTCTCTCTCTTGTATAAATACTCTTGTACACATACACACGCACATTCTTATTCTCCTGAATCAGTTTAACATTCTCTTGACGTAGAGATCCCAACGTCTGGAAATAGTCAAGTGCCTCTCTCTCTCTTTTCTCCTTTTCCTTTTCAATTTCTTCACGTGCTTGTGTTTCTTTTATTAAATCTTCCAATAAATGACGTACAAGAGACACACTTTCGATCGCCATGGGCTAAAAGAATAAAAACAGCGTCACAAAATCGCAATTCAAACGAGTCAAACAAAGATCAAACTAGGCAGAGAAAGATAGAGCAAGAGGAGAGTTACTTCTTCATACGACATGGCAAGCAGCTGCGTCTGTAGCTCCTTAAAGCGATGTACTTCCATACCCGTCGTCACGTCTTTTTAACAAGCGGCACTAGCCATTCTTAGTGCGGTAGTCACTCAAGTGAGGGGAAACTTGCACAATCACGAGGGATTTTGCTGGTCGTACGAAAGAACTTGCAATGTAGATAGTAAGTAAGTAATAAGCCAAGTGCTAAGACAGGCTCTCAAAGCTTAAGTAAGACCTACTTGCGATCGTATCATAAGCATGAATCTACTAGCTTTATTGTTTTCTTTCTATGCTTGGTGGGTTCACTATTGTATACTTGGCAATCATTCTCCAAAGCTCAGTAATAACTTCATTATATAATTGTCAAAGAGCTATCATATATCAAAGTGGACAAACGAGGACCATCTCCCACGTCCAAGCGTCCATGCTTTGGGGCTACTTCAATGATGTGAATTGCGTTATCCACACGATAGCAAGCAATCATTGGCGTCAAATCTTCCCTAGCAACGCCATCTGTAGCGTCTTCTAGAGCTGCCAGTGATGATAAACAAGGCTCGGTCGCAAAACTTGTCAACGCCCAGCAAGAGTTTCTATCGGTGGCACTAGGACAGCTCAAAACCCAGATTCGATTTGGTTGCAAGGACGAGCTGAAAAGTGCATGCTTAAGTAAGCGAGGGACCTAGTGTCAAGTTGACAAACTCAAAGACAGCTCGAACTAAATTGGCCAAGGATACTGACAAAGTGTTAGCTCTCCGAAATGTGGCAACCTCAAAGCCCAAGAATAATCGAAATTTCATCAACAAACACGTCACCCAATTCCTAATATTCGCAAAATTGACGTGAAAGATCGTAGTATCATATGTAAAACAAGTTATGCTTATCGATGATCAGTGCCCCAAACTTTTGGATCGTGTTACTTTACAAGATAATGTCTGAAATAATGCAGCCGTTTAATCTCTTGATTCGTGTTACTTAACGAATATAATGTCTAAATAATATCAAGTGGAAACATAAAGACTGCAGAACTTTATAATATCGGTTGGAGCTATAAATATAATGTGGTGCACATAATATTTACAAAATATCTCTAATTCACACAAGCCAAAGTCGTACGTGGTTACTCATTGAAGGGTTCATGGCTTCTTCTCAGCCAGCAGTAGATGATGACACGCAGTTACAAATGGTGGTACTTAAGGCACTAACGTCATTGTACCAACCACAGTTAACAAACTTGCAGGAAATGCAGGCAGCCGATGCATTTCTTCGTGGTTTCCAACTCACACCCGCGGCCTTTGACGTCTGTGCGTCATTATTGGATCAATTGGTACTAACTTGTGTTACTGGGACAATTGCTCCGGACAGTGTGCCCGTGGTATTTTTTTCAGCACAGACATTGGCCAATAAGCTGCGTCGTCAATATTCGACTTCAATGTTGGACTGTAATTCTTGGACACAACGAATCGTAACCTGGTTATCCTGTCGCCCCAAGTTACCGAAAATAGTGGTTACACAGCTAGTACTCGCCCTTGTCGCAGTCTTACCACGGCTTCAAATCCAAGATCTGAAGGCTCAAACTACTTCCAATACGGTCGTTTGCTCTAGTCAACTTGTAACGGTGATTCAGGAAAGTTGCGTCCAGTGCAATGGCCATAGTGTTGTGGGGTACGCTCTGTTACATTTGGTTTATTCTGGTGTAACCACGACGGTCTTGGCGGAATTGCTACTGCTCATAGTCGAGGAAATAGACACATTGACTGGACGCAATGCTCGACAAAGAATGCAGGACGAAGTGGACGCGTGGGCTCCACTGATGCTGGACAGATTGCTGCCTCAATTGATGCATGAGGCCAGTAACCAGGAAAAGGACAGTTTTTTGGATACAGTGGAGACCCAGGAGACAGTATTGCGCACACTAACCAGTTGGTTACGCTGCGTCCAAGTAACATCCGCCGTCGTGGTACGTAACCCGCTACTGCACTCGTTGCTGAGCTTTTTAGCTCGCGACGAATTGTTCGATGCAGCAGTAGATTTAGCCGTGGAACTAGTGAGGTCATACTCGCACGACAAAGTGGTGGTACAATGGGTAGCTCCCAGGTTATTGTCATTGAGAGGAGCATTTCAGTCCGCAGCAGAACGAGAAGATGTGGATTCGTGTTTAGGACTTTGTCGTATATTCACCGAAATGGGGGAGTCGTATTTGGAGCTGCTTTTGCAAGAAAATGGAGATGGCAACGACACTGTAACCTTGGTGGACTTGCTGCTAGATTGTATGAGTTACCCTGACGCAGAAGTGGCTGATGTGACGATTCCTTTCTGGTTTCGACTGTTGGCAGAGCTGCAACGTCATGTCGCATCTGCTCTTCTGACGCAGTACAACCTAAGACTTGAGAGGCTGGCAGGGCTATGTATGAAAAAGCTGCAATTCCGAGACGAGTTCCTGAATCTGCCTGCCGACACACAACAGGACTTTAAGGCGTTTCGACTGGAGCTTAGTGACATTCTACGCGATTGCTGTCAGTTGCTTGGTGTCGAGACAATTCTTCAGCATTGCGTGAACGGACTAAATCAGATATTCCAGACAGGTGCTGAATCAAAACGCTGGGAGGCGGTGGAGGCTCATTTGTATTGTTTCCGTTCTATTGCGCGCGAGGTTGAGAAGAGCAAAAGTAATGCCGAGTCTTTGGACGCACCGATTACTTTGATTTTCCAGCATTTGCGACAGTTTGCTGACCACCCGGCGATTTGCTACACGTCATGTCTGATTGTGTCGCGTTATGCGGTATGGTTGCGCATGCACCCTACGTTACTCTCAACTCAGGTGGAATTTCTAAACGTTTGCGTGACAATGAGTGCAGAAGACCCGCGGTACGCAGAGTGGGAGGTTGCACGAGCTGCTGCTACAGCCGTTCGTGCTCTGGCTATAGATTGCTGGGCGATGCTTGGGGAGAATATTGTTGCGTTCTACCTGCACATCGAGCAGCATGAGGTCATGGTTGTTGATGACCAGGTGCTGATCCTTGAAGGCGTTTGTGCTGGTGTGGCAGGCTCTGGAGATATGCAGCGTATTGTTTTCGTCTTGGATCAAGTCATGAAGGGTGTTGGCCAGCGACTAACTACCTTGTTTGCCTCAACATCTGCTAAGGAACACGTACAGGTTGCATTGAACGAGCTATTGCGACTCATGTGTATTTACGAATACCTCGATATACCAGCCACAACGCTTCAGAGGGAAAAGCATCCACTGGTGATGCTCACGGAGCAGTTGTGGCCACTCATCAACAAGATGCTTGCGTTGTATCGTGGTCATGACGAGCTGGTCGAGCGTGTATGCCGTTGTTACAAGCGCATTCTACGTACGTGTGGCGAGCACATTGTGCCTTTGCTTCCGCAGCTTGTTGACAACCTGCTGGCATTTTACCAAGCAGAGCCTAAATCCTCATACCTCTACACTGCTAGTATGGTGTTGAAGTTTTTCTCTTCTGGCAACAGCAGCATAATGAGGATGGATGCCCTGTTCGAGCGTATGCTCTTCACGTTAATTGAGGTGACGACTCCTATTTTTGCGAGTGTAAAAGACATGGAAGCGCGTCCAGATGTCGTGGAAGAGTTCTTTTTCCTCATGGAGCGTGCCGTGCGATTGGTGCCGCAAGTATTGGCTGCTCCTGTTTCCACTTCATCACAAACTCGGCCACTGATAGCGAACGTATTTTCGTGTGCGGTGTCAGCGCTGAATATCTCACACAACGATGCCAATAAAGCAGTGTTATGCTTTTTGGAGCACGTCTTCAAGCAGTCTCAGGCTAACAACTCGCTCGTGAAACTTACTTTATTCTGTGCATCTGATAGTGGAGAGCATGAGACCAGCAACAAGATGTTGATAAATTACCTGATGCGGGGTGTTGTTCTAGGCACCATGTCGCCTTCTCGCGTAGATGCCGACTACGGATCAGTGGCAGGAGTAATGGTGCAACTTGCAAAGGTTAATGGCCCGCAGCTTCTGCACTGGATCACAGAATGGTTTGAGCAGGCTACAGTAGGGACATTTGCAACCGCAGCAGTGAATTTTCTCACCCCAGACGAGACACAAGAGTTTCAAAGCGAACTCTCTAGTGCTGCGAGTGAACGTGCATTCCGACGCACTGTTCGTCATTTTGGCAAGCTTTGCGCTTCTCGGAATACATCACTCAAGAATTGCGATCAATAGTAGACACGGACTAAAAGCACCAAGAATCCAAGATCCGTACGACCGAAATACCGCTGCCGAGGCAATTCTGTTCCACATCGTGGTAGCAAAAACATGTCACCGTCTTGTATAGGTGGGTATTGATGGTGCTGAAGTCTGTGAGTGGTAACAACAATATCATGCTGCATCCTTTTGTTGTTAGAACGCGCCAATTGGCTTGTGACTTTTGACGCCGACGTGTTTCAAGATGACAAGGCAAGAATGTCAATCGGTGGTCGATATGTGGCTGGCTGTCTTTGCTCACTACAATGTCGCTCTGGTCTTGCCTTGCATTGAAACGTGTGGGTGGGTGGGTATCCACAGCAGTCACTGTCCGTCACACGTCACACCAATATCCACAGACAATGGATTCGATCGAATCTTGTCGTAGAATGGCGACGTTGCAGTATTTCCGTCGGACGTCGGTCAAGAATGCATTGTTGTTTCCAGGTGTTTCTTTCTGTTATTAGAACGAGATACAAGCGATGCATGATCTCGTAATATTTGACTTTAATGCGTCGCCAATGGTTTTGTCTACGTACGAACTGTTTCGATATTAAAGCGATGTCACTGCTGGCAATGAAGAGGTCAGTAAGGCATGAAGCTACTACCAGTTTATTTTAGTATATTCTGGAATGTTTGCTGCTAGAATCGTAAATTAAGATACATAAAAGCTCTGGTATATTTGCTAGCGAAACTATTTTTCCAGAACAATCGATGCATATGGCAAAACACGAAATCGAAATTACAATAGTAGTCATATGTCAATGGAACGTTCCGGTCTTGACTTTTACATATTACAAAACTAATCTATGTTTGTACCGTCAAGGTTGCTCGAAGGTTGCAACACACCAGCCAGTGTCTTTAATGGTTCGTGATCAATTGACATTTTGCTCACTATTCAACGCATTGATTCCTCATGGTAATGCTCTTGTCTACATTCTCTTCTTGTTTCTATCTCTCTCTCTCTAACTGTTACTAATTCTTGTATCGATTCTACTAGAGCTCTCTTCGTAAATTAATTCCCTTTGGTAACCGCGTATTGGTCAAACGTTTTGAAGCTGTTGCAAAAACAGCAGGTGGAATTTACTTACCGGATGCGGATGCCAAGCAACAGAATGAAGGTCAAGTGATTGCTGTAGGTCCTGGTGCTCGTGCTTCTGATGGTTCACTCATTCCAGCTCAAAGTGCTGTGGGTGATAAGGTTTTATTACCTGAATACGGTGGTAGTGTCGTTAAACTTGGTCAAGATGAATTGTTTTTGTTTCGCGATGAGGACATTCTTGGAAAACTCGAGTAGATGCTAAAACGCACTTTTTTAAACAAACAATTAAATGATAAACATGACGTTTTAGCATAAAACAACAACGAATTAAATCGTTAGAAGAAAATAGTGCTTAGTTCTTGTTACTTAAGAGGATCTCTTTGATTGATACCGAGGTTGAAATCTGACACACATAAATTGATTCTCTTTTTTTTACCCATTTTTAGAACCCAAATCGACGAGGTCGACATTTTGTTCTCATTTTGTTCATACTAGAAGAAGCATCAGTTTGTCCAAGTTCCGCAATGTTTGCCAAATGAGTATGAGTATGAGTCTTCTTACCGTAATTCTTCTTGTTATATTCTCGGCCTGTTGCACCATGAACGTCACGCCTCCTCTCCTTGTTGTTACTTTTCAATTTCTTCGTTTCAAGTAAAACTTCCATCTCACGTTCCATCTCAAGAGCTTCATCCTTTTCTTTCATCCGCTTCAGTAACCGGGACTGAAACGATTCCTTGATACTGAAAAACATTGGCCCTAATTCTGCCAGCCATTCCCCTTCCACTGCTGTTGTACATTGCATATACTCTTTACTCGTATAAATCAATTCATGATATACCACAAAGTCAGGGGTATACCCAAGACCAAATAATGCAGCACTCGGGTGTAAATGACACGGCATGCCTGTCAACATATTGACATATTCGCCAATGCCCTTCATTTGAGCGGAATTGTAGAAATAAGCAGAACAAATTGCCTTTCGTACGACATCCCAACGTCCACCACAGGACAAAAGTCGTACACGTTGTTGTTTCATGATATCAGCCAATTGGTCATGCACTTCACGAGCTTTACGTAATCCTTTTGCATGAATAAAGTGCTCGGAACACCATTGACTCGAGTGACGATTTGCTTCCCATTGTTGATAAACATTCAGTAATGTCAAATGATCACTCTCAGGGACGAAAAACTTTTCTCGAGCACCGTCACTCTCTTCTTCACGGTCTTTTGGACGGAAAAATACACTTGGAACTGATAACATACTCACCACCACAAGCACTTCGGTTGAACAGCCAAGCTGTTCGCTAAACAAAAGCATCTTTGCCAAAGGTGGATCCAATGGAAACACAACCATCTTTTTACCCATTTCCGTCAATTCACCCGTATTATCAAGCGCTCCAAGCACCCACAATTGATACATTGAATTCATGATATTGTCCTGTGGTGGTGGATCCATGAAATCAAACTCAAGCAAGTTCGAAACACCGAGTGACTTGAGCAACAATACCACATAGCCCAAATTTGTTCGCTGAATTTCTGGAATCTGAGCTTCGAGTAGCTCGTTCACAAACTGTCGCTCTGTGTACAACCGGTATGCTACACCGGGGCCTGTACGACCCGCACGACCAGCGCGCTGATTGGCATTTTGCTGACTAATGGGAGTTACCTGCAGCGCATCCATACCAATTTTGGGGTTGTAGACCTTAACTTTGCAGAATCCTGCATCAATAACGTACTTGATACCATCCACTGTAAGCGATGTTTCTGCAATATTGGTAGACACGATGCATTTTCGAATATCCGACGCGTCAAAGATCTTTGCTTGCAAGTCTGCCGGTAATTGTGAATACATAGGAAGAACCATGAGAGGTGGTGCACCATCCAGCTTGCTCATTCGATCTGCCAGCACGTAGCACGTTGCCTCGATGTCCTCTTGGCCTGTCATGAACACTAAGACATCACCAGGCGGGTGAGACAAATGAATTTGCATTACTTGCTTCACCGCCGAGTCCACAAAATCTTCACTGGGAGATTTAGCGTAGCGGGTTTCCACATGAAACGTTCGACCAGGAATGGTGAACATAGGCACCCCACCAAAGAATTTCGCAAACTTTTCAGCATCTAATGTCGCCGACGTTACAACAAGCTTAAAGTCACTGCGACGCTGGACCACCTTGCGAAGGATACCAAAGAGTACGTCGGTATTGAGAGCGCGCTCGTGAGCCTCATCCATAATCACGCAAGAGTACGAATCCAAATCGGCCTCACGCAGGGATTCGCGCAAGAGTACACCTTCTGTCATATACTTAATGATGGTCTTGTCCGATGTAAGATCTTCAAACCGGATAGCATAACCCACTTCCTCACCAAGCGTTACGTCCATTTCCTCACTAACACGCTGAGCCACTGACATAGCTGCCACACGACGCGGTTGCGTACATCCGATAGTACCAAACTGTGAATATCCTTCTTCATGCAAGTATTGTGTAAGCTGCGTGGTCTTTCCCGAACCTGTCTCGCCGACAATCACCACAATCTGATTCTCTCGAATCACCTGCAGCACTTCCTCACGACACTGAAAAATTGGCAGAAATTCGCGCTGTTGACGAAGTGTTCGGGTTTTGGCAAAGACACTCACAGCTTTTTGCTTTTTTAAATGCGTCGAGAACTGTGAGTCATGTTTGTAATCCCCCGCACTCTCCTTTTCCTGCTTTGCTTCTTCCTCTTCATCAGACCCAGCGTCTGCCTTTATGCCAATAGCATCACCCATTCGCGAGCCGCCAATTTCCCAAAATCGTTTTCGCATCTTATTTCTTTCACGCTGTTCACGTACTTCCCGCAGCACTTCACTGCCTTTCCTTGCGCATACTGCCATATCAGAGGTCGGATCTTTTACTGTCGCGACCATCTCCATCTGTGTCGTAAACGCCACTCGTCCATCCAAGAACGGTGGCTTCGTACTATGCACCATGATCTGCACCCTCGAGTCCAACTCGTCATCAAAATCTGTAGCCACGCGTCCAGACGCCACAACACCACTAGTTAATAACCGGTTCTTTTCCCATGCCTCCTGGTCTGCCGAAAGCGCCGACGCTCTTGCCGACATGCCTTTCAGCTTATTATCTCCTCTTGCTCTTGTCTGCTCCAATTTATCTTCCATTGCCTTAAACTTCTCTTGATTGCCAAGGAACACATGTCCTTCATGCACCTCAATGCCTCCTGCATCATCATTTAAGTAAAATTCTCGATCAAACTCCTCCTCCACCTCATCCTCGTACTGTTTCTTCGGAGCTTCCAGCTTCTCCTTGTGTCGATTATACCTCAATTCACTAGAAGATATAAGAAACTCCTTCTCTTCTCTCCATCTACTCGCGCTTCGATTCATTCGGCTGTTTCTTGTCTCTTTTTGACTCGGAATTGAACGTGATCTGCTCTCTCTCTTCCCGTCGTCTGTACTGGGCGTGTCAGTCTCCTTTTTGTCATCCTCATCTGTCAACACACTTTGCAATTGTTCTGATTGATCCCAGTCATTTAAATCCAGGCCTTTCGCGCTCTGTAGCCGTGACAAATGAGAACTCCTAGTCGATTCTATCCCTGATCGAATGATGGCGGTTTTGGAGCTTCTAGAGCTGCGAATTTCACGCTCCTGACGTTTCTCAGCTGCTAATTTATCCAGTCCTAAGATAGAAATAGGACGGCGAGTAGATGTACTCGCATGTGCTTGAGAATGAGACGCAAAGAGTCGTGTAGGACTCGGACGAAGACGTTCACATTGATGAGAGCTCCTGGAGGCGCTATTGAGTCTCTCACGATGACGATTACATGGTTGAGATCTGCTCTGACTGCTGCTTCGTTTACGATGCAAAGAAGATGAATAACGACGCTCAGGAGAGCGTGATCGACTGCGACGTGTGACGTCTCGAGAGCGAGCCATTAAGATGCTGTTAATGTGAGGATACGAGTCGAACTGTCATTTCTATCAATTTAGAAATCATGGTACACTGTACCATGTACAGTATAATTAACCTGGTAAGTGTAAAAATATCGAAACAATAGTGGTTTTTACTCATTTCAGCGCATTCTATTGATAGAATAAAAAGTACTTTTCATAAAATGTGCTTTTCTCCTTACGAGTCGATTGTTGTAGCATACGACGACTTTAATGTCCAACAACGACCTCGACAGATCGCCATATCACGTAAAACATGACGAAAAACGAGTTTATCCTTGGGTCCAATCACATGACCAAAATGGTTCAAAAGCCGTTCGGTTGTCACCCCTTTCGTCTCATTGGCAATCAAAAATGAATGCAAACGCTTGGCCATGTCGCTTGCATTCAATGATACAGAATTTGAGGCATGACAAAGGTCAGAGGCTCGAGAGTGAGGTCGAACATGAACTTGATTTGTCGGATTTGCAATACCATCACGTCTCTGTTTAATCCTTGCAAGCATATCACGTGATGAAAGTCCACCATTTCGTCCACTTTTTCCAGAACCTCGACCCCGACCACGACCTCGTAAGGTAGTACGACCACGAACGGATCCATTTGGCTCATGCCGTTGACATGGATCTCCAGCTGCACCTGATCGGCCTGTCCATGTTGGTGTATAGATAGTCTCGCGCTGTTGTCGTACAAGAGCACCAGATGCGCGAAGTGCAATCAGTGCCCCTTGCGCAATTTTCGTCGCCTCTATCTCCACTAAATCGGCTTCTTGGTTTTGCACGCCATGGGACTCAACCGCCGAGTGATCAAACACGCCGCGCACATCGCCACCGTCAAACAATTGTCTCAGCACAACGTCATTGTCGCCATCATCCTTGTTGCTTTTACTGTTTCCAGATTGCTGGCCACTTTCTTCATCTTCCTTTTCGCTATCGTCCCGCTCAGCAGGCCGATCCACGTTACCAGCGATAAACAACTCGTTCGTCTCCGCAACTCCCTCTCCCTCTCCTTCCTCATCCGCTAGCACAAATAAATCTCGCAGTGAGTGCTTGTTGAAACACCGTTTTCGCTTGGCATCGTGCAATACCTTGCTACTAAGGTACTGTTTGAAAATCTGTCGGTGATAGATTTTCTCTTCGATCGTTCCAGCAGTAACAAATCGATACACAGTCACCGGTTTTTGCTGGCCAATGCGCCAAGCGCGTTCACGAGCCTGAAGATCCGTTGACGGATTCCAGTCAGGATCAAATACCACAACACGGTCGGCACCAACCAAGTTTACACCAATACCACCAGCACGAGTTGTCAACAGAAACGCAAAAAGTTTGCTGTCAGGCGCGTTGAATGCATCAAGTCGCTTTTGTCGCTCTGCTACACCCATCGTTCCATCAAGACGAGTACATGTATGACCAACACTTGCCATAAAGCTTTCTAAAATATCCAGCATACAGCGTGTTTGTGTAAAGATCAATACTCGGTGACCCTGCTTTTTCCATATTGTTAGCACCTTGCGCAAAACAACCATTTTTCCACTAGCCGATACTGCGCCAAAAGGTTCGTTACTTTCGTCTATTTTTTCGTCTTCAGGGTCATCCAATAAACCAGCAATGTCGGTATAGCGTTCATCACTGTCCTCCTCGTCCTCATAAGTTTGCCGTTTCTTATCCGCCAATCTTCCATCACCAAACGAGGCCAGCAAGTCCGGGTGGTTGCAAATATGCCGCAGTACGGAAATGGCCCGAAATGGTCGAATATCTCGACGCAATACCGACGCGATCTCAGGTGAGGCTAAGAAACGCTTATATAATGTGCGCTGTCTCGCTGTAAGTCGGCAAAATATAATCTGTTCTTGTTTTCCAGGAAGCAATGCACCCATTTCGCCACTGGCACCATGAGCCAGTATCTCTTGCTTTGTACGGCGGAGAAAAAACGGCTGGATGAGATCTTTTAAGGCAAGTGCACACTTGTACGCCATCATGACCTGCATCTTGGTTGCTGTAGCATATCCTCCAGCTCGTATCGGCAGCACAAACTCGTCGTCAAAGGTTGGCAAGGTACCTAAACGTCCTGGATATACAAAGTCAAATAGCGACCAAAGCTCGCGAAGTCGGTTCTGAATTGGTGTGCCAGAGAGAATAATACGATGGATTGTTCGCAACTGTTTGCAAGCGAGGGTCGTTCCAGCATCTGGGTTGCGTATACGGTGTCCTTCATCCAACACAACATAGTCCCACTCGCGCGTAAGAAACAAGCTCTGATACTGTCGAACATTCTCATATGTAGTAATGATCACACCACCACCAGTCGGCACCTCTTCTTGTATTTCACGATAGCCACTATCTGCAACTTCAGCATCCGATGCTTCATCTTGAAAGCAAAACACCTCTTCAATCAAACGTTCATAACACTCACTTGAACTTGACGTGTTTACACCTGTTCCTGATGCATGAAGTAGCACAACACGCATCCACGGTGTCCACTTGTGCAGCTCCCGTACCCACTGCAATAACACTGACGCTGGACATAACAACAACACAGTTTGCAATCTTCTTGCACGATGGAGTGATCCTAAAAAAGGCTGCAAGCTGCACTGTTTTTCCAAGACCCATATCATCGCCTAGGATCCCACCAACACCTCTTTCATGAAGTTTATGTAGCCACTCGAGACATTCTCGTTGATGTGGTAGCAATTGATGCATCACGTAAGTTGGTACTAAGAGTCCTGATGTTGTTTCAATGACATCCCATGGCGAATAAAATTGATCCTGTCCCATCTTCTCCACTTGATTTTCTGTCTCTCTCTCATCATGTTCCGTAACGTTCACCTTATCATCAAAAGAAGGTCTTGGAGAATTGTAAAATGTTTTGCGATTTTCAGTCACGGAATGTTGAAATTCTTGACGTAATTCACGCACTCGACGCCGATATTGATCCACATTACCATCATCTGCCCACGTCGCAACTTTTCGATCATTTTCTGGTCTTTTTGTAGCCGACATGACAACTTTCTCATGAACGGTTAGTATTTCTGAGTCCATGTCTGATTCCATGCTTAGCTGATCCTGTTTTCGACTCGTTTTTCGACCCTTCTCTTGCCGTTTTTGAGTCGTTTGTTTTTTAGCTTTTTTCATCTGTCGTTCTAAACGGGTTCTAGAATCTGGCAAATAGTCAGAATCGTTCTCGGAATTTGAAGAAGGAGGCGAGTCGCTACTGTTGAAACTTTCGGATGCAGGTGTCCAGGGTGGTGTAGTGACATGAAAGTTAGATAAAGAAGACATGTGAGGAGTTAGTAGAAGCTTGAGAAGATTACGAGCGATATTACGCAATGTCGATTACTAAAGACGAGAAACAGAAATAGTATCAACAACTGTCAACTTTAATTTAGAAAACTGATGTCTCATATATATAGGATGATAGATGATAGATGATTTATGGATTTTAGAACTGTTTGTCGGTTGGCTTAAAATGTAATATGTATCTTACTTTTTATAAAAAGCACTTGAGTTTATGATAATCAAGGCATTATCAGGATAGAAAAGTGTATTACAGAATCAGCTAAAGCCTCTTTTGATATATTCTGAATTGTGGAAAGTTGACTTAATGAAAACCAGTAGTTTTATTATTTCTCAGCGGTTATCGTTATATAGAGTAACAAATGCTGGAAATGTCAGCTTCAATTTGCTTTATTGGAATTGAATGGATTCATGACGTGTCTTGGATAGAAATTGTGAGCAAGTTGTGCGTGCGGAGGTTTGATGATTAGTGCACATTATCATATCAAAAGTAGCTGCAGCCTAGAGAGCAAAAAAAAACACACACACACACACACTTTGGTCAGCAAGTCATTGCAGGCATTTGATAGCACCATTTTGTAGGTGTTTTCTTACCAGAACGGACAATGAGCTTGTTATGCCGTAGAAATGAACCATTTTGCGGATGAATGCCATATAACTGATCAAAGTAATTTGAGCCTTTAGTAGAATGGACATTATGATATGGGTTATCAAGTGACAGCGAGACTGAACCAGTTAGTCACGACGAGTCCACATGCGGCGGAGTCCGGGTTCGAATTAGCCGTAAAAGTGATTGGGCTGAGGTCGAAGTAGCAAACACACCACAAGAGACGGTAAGAGTAGTCGGAGTACTAATAATGATCGACCCTCGTTCATACCAGAATGAACGGCAACAACAACATAGACTGATGCCCATTCGGAAGCCAGAATGGACAGTAGCGACGGAAAGTACTGGAACTAAAAGTGACAGCGAGATAATGATCTGCGACGTTACATGCCAGATAGCATGGACACCATAGCGTAAGCTAGCTTCTAGTCAGGATCAGGTTTGCTTCACAAAGAATATCTACTTGTTCACGTACATGTGCACGTCTACGAATGCGCAAGTCGACAGCCGAAAAGAACTGAATTCCGATGATAGCAAGCAGGGCTAATTGTGGTAGAATAAGCAGCAACGCTCTCACGAAGTCACTACTGTGCGTTACTTGAGCAACAAAATCCCAGCCGCTTGCCACCACGGCCACCTAACATCACCGAGAGTAAGCAAAAGGTTGCCATGTTTAGACAAAAAGTGTTCGTTGGAAATACCACTGCCGTCCTGAAAGGCATCGACAACACATCATGGGTGCACTGGATCCTTGCTATTCCCATACCAGGTCGCGCCACACGCCACAGTCCAAACATTGTCGCTCTTATTGCTTTAAAATCAGACAATGCAGTGATACACCCAAGAAAAAGCACGTTCGTCTTATTTGACATCCGCGACATTATCAATGCAAGCTTAAGATACGACAAAATTTTTCTTTACGCTAGTATGCATGATATCAACGCAAAAACCTACGGACGAAATGATGTCAAGTTAATGAAATCATAGCGCAGTAAACACACTCCCTCTGTCAACGTGTCGACGGCTTGGAGTCACATGCTGCAAAATGTAATCGTTGGCCGTCTAATGTATTGAAAGGGACCAGCATGTCTTTGCTCTTCATTGTTGCCACCGGCGTTATACTTTCATGACCGTGGCCGTCATGGAGTCGTGTCAATAACGATTCGTTGATTAGGCTTCGTTTGACTTGTATACGGTTGATGTAGACCCTAAGAGGTCGTTTCCGCAGCGATTGTTGCTGCCATTTGCTACTACTTTGTGAGGGAATGAGATCCATTGTGGTCGGTATCGGAATGTTTACCTTTACATTCCTTGCGGCAGTAAGAAACGATATCCGCTACAGAGGGAACTATAATTGAGGCAGAAATCGATGTCGTTCAACGTTGGAATTCATGATTTGAGCTCACGAGAACAGACAAGAGCGTTTGGGTTTCAGTCGGAAAGGATCACGTCAAGTACGTGCATGACTCTTTTCGCTTGATGACGAACAACACACTAGTTTTCTCTGTAGCGGACACTTCATTTCACTGCCGTCAAGGAAAGCTAAAACATTCCGATACGACCATGGATCTCATCATCTCAAAAGGTAGTAGGAAGTGGCAGAACCAATCAAAGTCGAAACGACCTCCATAGTATCTACATCAACCGTATATACAAGCAAAACGAAATACAATCAACGAACCGTTATTGATCCGAATCCATGACGACAACGGTCATGATAATATAACGCCGCCGACAACGAAGAGCAAAGACATGTGGATCTTTTACAATGCTATCGACGTGCACCTTCTTAAATGAAATAAAGCAGCTATCCCTCCCAATTAGCAACTCGTCTACTAAACTCCACACGAACTCAGGCAACAGTACTATCTTACTCCTGTTTTGCTTCGTTGCAATGAATCGCAGTATGTTTGCAGGATACGTGCACAGACGATAACTTGTTTATTTGGTAATTTGTCAAAAGCGTGTGCTTTTTCAAAGCATCCTTGCACATACCATATAGCAAACATCAACATGTGGCAAACGACATTCTGTGTTCGAGTACATTCAATAGAATAAGAATCGCTTTTCCTTAAGTGTGCATGGACGCGGTATAAAGCATCTAAGGTGGTCAAAGTATGCCGTCAATTGCGCCATCTAGACTCAACTTGAGAAACACTCTACAGCAGCTTTTTGTAAGTAAATGCTATAGCACGACAAGGGGGATCTCATCCTTTCAATCATTTTCATAGCAGATAGAGCTCCAACTACAACTAAATGCAGTTACAACTGCATTTGCTCTAGACTATTTCTATGTAACAAATCAAAATATTTCAAGTCTTTTGATAATGTAGGAATTCCTCCATCACCTGCTTGTGTTGAGTAAGATAAATAAACATGACCACACTATGCGATCGACGATCTCAGACAGGAATCACAACGTAAAATAAGCAGAAAAAAAACTGCGACGTGTGATCGAGTTTCTCGTGTTTCGTCTGATTCGCTCAAACAAATTCTCCACCAATAAACAACCGACTAAAATTGCATTCAGTTCTCTTCCTATCACGACCGCCCAGTCAAGAAAACGCCCTCCAGCCAAACAGTCGAGCAATTAGTACATTCGACTTTTTTTTCCTCCTTTGTCTCTTTCATCTCGTATTGTCTATTGACACACACGTGACTAGAACCTTTTGTGTCGAGTGAGGTTCTTGCTAGCTTTATTCATCGCGTCGTTGTATCTATTTGGTCGATTGTGACCTCTGGTGTCTAAATTGAGCAACTCTGAGTTTCCTGACGATTCCTCGAATTCACTGGTTGTGGGAGTGGAAAGCAGCTCTGTGTCGAGCTTTTTGTTGTTACGAATAGCGTTGCTTCTTAGCAACATAAAGACATTTTCTCGGCGGTGAGTTACCTTCGACGAGCGAGTGAATTGGCAGTGTGTGCAGTCGACGGATGGGATAAGTTTGTCGGACTAAGACCGACCAACACGCGACGATAGTTTTTACCTTCTTTCTTCTTATTAGAGAGTGAGAAAAAGCAGTGATAACTTGCGAGGCTGTGGACAGTTTTTCCCTTGTGCCAATTCTTTTTGACTTTATAAACTATAGACGCATTTGAAACATACGATGATTGCCCCAACGAACAAGCCGACGATGGTCAAATGGGAGCATTTGTCTTTTGTGATCATGGATGCGCCAAACGACAGCAACTTGCACATTTACTTGAAGGAGCTCAAGAAACATAATGTAACGGACCTCGTGCGTGCCTGTGAGGTCACGTATAGTAGTGAGTCCGTGGAGGCCGCTGGTATCCACGTTCACGAGCTTGAGTTCCCGGATGGTGAGTCACCTGATCCAGAAATTCTTGATCAGTGGCTGGATCTAGTAGAAGAATGTTTTAAGGATAATGCCATTGAGTTTAAGAATAACAAGTCGATTGCGGTGCACTGCGTCGCTGGACTTGGCCGGTAAGTGGATACAATGACAGCGTTGTGCTGTTAAATGAGCGAAACACATACTGATACATTCTATTTCTTGTCGTGGCTATTTTTGAAACAGAGCCCCTGTTTTGGTAGCTATCGCGCTGATTGAGTACGGACTGGACCCTATCAATGCCGTGGAGCACATTCGTAGATTCCGGCGTGGAGCCATTAACCTGCGGCAGCTCAAGTATCTGGAAAAGTATCAGCCTCGCCGTGGTAACAAGGCGAAGTGCACTATCATGTGATGAGGCAAAGAAGGCAATAGATGGCGAGCAAACGTGATAAGGTGCTGGCGTTCACGTCTTTCACGTATCTGTTCGTCTGTTTGCTGACTGTCGACCTTCTATGCCTTTCCTTGCACCCTTTTTTTTATTTTTTGCTGCTTTGCATTGTGTGCTCTTTGCCGACCGGATTCCGATTACGGTATGGTAAGAAGGATCGAAAGTTTATGTCGAGATTGGTTGAACTCCTTGACATTTATAGATTATTTTCACTTAACACGGGCATTACTTTAAACTAAATGGTATGCGATATAAAACAATATTGCAGACTACTCGTTAAAGAAGAGTGTGCTGTTACGAAGATAAAGCTTTCTTGTCTTTGCATATTCGGTACAAAAGGTGTACAACAGCTTGGGTTTTGCGAGTGGTGCTACTTGTACGTAATGGCTGTAGCATAACGTCGATGACAGTTAGTTAGGACCATAGAAGCGCTTGAGATGAAACTAATTCAATCAGTAGATTCGTTCATACCATGTTGAGAGCAAGTCATATTGAAAACTAAATGCCATGTGAACAAGCTTTCACACTACTAGATAATGTAGGTGCGTTCTATAGTTTCAAGAATGCCAGCAATAGGTTTCTCAGCGGAAAAAAATAACTTCCACATCCGTTTTCTTGCCAGTTTTGCATGAACCGCATCTCGTCGTTATCAACATGTATAACGACAGGCAACATCTTCTTCGATTGATGGTATTATGACTTGACTGTTGCTTCCAAGATATATGTATAAGGTACTTTTTCATCTCAAATGTGCTCTATCGTTTCATACTTACTGAAGTCCGTTTACTATTAACGTCGTATAGACATATCTTTCCTATTCAAAGCAAATATCACTTGATCACCAAGATGTTTCTTAATATGAGCTTTGCCACTGTTGATCTTGGTAATCGTTTCGGGCGTAGTAAGGTTAGCAGTCTGTAGTTGAAAATCTGCAAGTTTACTAAACCATTGGACAACCGCAAAATGGCCGTTGTAAATTGCGAAATCAATGGCCACAGATGTGCAGCCTTCCGTTCGGTTTGCCCATAACCATTGAACTGTAGTCAAATGACCCCCAGCTGCAGCCGTATCAATTGCTCTTGTCGTACAACCTTCGGTGCGATTTATGTGCAGCCATCGAATGACATTGACGTGACCTCCTGCTGCTGCACTGTCCATTGCGTGCACAGAGCAGCCTTCGCTTCTATTTTTATGAAGCCACTTGACTACATTTAACTGTCCCCGCAAGGCTGCTGCATCCATCACGCGTGTCGATATCTTGACATTTGGACGGTAAGACGTAAGCCACTTGACAATATCTAGACGTCCTTCAGTCGCTGCAATTTGCAAGGACCAGTCCATGCTTTGATCGGTGATCTCTGCATTTCGTTTGCCCAATCGCCGTAGAAGCGACATATACCCACTACATGCCGCATTTTGGACACTCCACGAGGTAGAGTAGTCCAAATACGACTCAATGAGTTCTGGCACTAACCCGTTAGCAATGGAATCAGCTTGGTCTCTCACGACCACCTCGACGCTCATTATTCGTTCCATTACTATCGGGTTGGTCTGTTATAATCTGACTTAGGGTACTGCTTCTTGAATTGCTTGCTGAATTGATAATGAGAAAACGCTACGCGGCAAACATGCGAAGTTGTTGTCATGTGTCAAGTTTAGCGCTGACTTCGTCAAGTCGGTCCCACTATGTATCAGCTCAAAAGGTCCATCAAATAAGACCCTCAAATACTGAGTGACCGTTTGTATGAGACACTTGAAAAGTCTTGGTATCCATTACTGACTTGAGGGCTAGCTTTTGTCTCCATCTAGTAGGTTGATGTGTACTATTAGCTCAATGCATGACTTTCCAACAGACAACGCGATTCGTATATTAACTTGTTTAACTTCATAGCTGCTCTGATCTAGGTCAACCAAATGTTCAATTCAGTCACCAATCTCATTTTACTGTGCTTCGTTCGCACATTCTTCATTCAGTTCCGGCACAAGAGGCCCATGCTCAACCGGCGAGGGCGCTGCCGTGGTGTTTCCACTAGAGTGGCACTCAGACGCCTTTCTCTACGAGACCATCGCGCTGGCAACCGGGTACCCGTCCCTTGATTTCTGTCTTGCACCTCCACATTCTGTTCGTTGAGCCACCGCAGAATATGCATGTGGCCATTCAAAAGCGCAAAGTGCGACGCAATACTCGTGCAGCCTTCCTTGCGATTAGCCGTGAGCCATTGCACGGTCTTGAGGTATCCTCCAGCTGCCGCACTGTCCATAGCAGCAGTAGTGCAGCCCTCCGATCGGTTTTCGTGCAACCATTGAACTACATCCAATCGACCGTAAGCGGCAGCGCTGTCCATCGCTGCAGTCGTACAACCTTCATCACGGTAAGAGTGCAGCCACTTTACAATACTTAGATGGCCACGTAGAGCTGCCGAGTCCATAACTTGCGTGGAGCACTCCATGTCAGGCTGATAGGCAGTCAACCACTTGACAACACGCAGGTCGCCCCGGTCTGCAGCAGTGCGCAGCGCCCAATCCAGCTCCCGTGGTGATATAGGCAGCTCCTTCTTTCCCAAGTGTCCAAGCAACGTCATATATCCGTTACAGGCAGCACGCTCTATCGTCCATTTGTGCGAAAAGTCCAAGTATTCACTTATCATGTCGGCCACATGAGAGCATCCAGCCAACGCGTGTTGCTCGCGCAACACAATTGTTACGGCAGTTAGCTCAATAGTTTGTTGATTCATCATGAAAGAAGTAGCGCAAATTCGAATTTGGCAAAGTAAAGGAACTAATGTAGTGACTAAGCGTTGGTCACTTGTACGGCACAACAGCTCTTGAGCACGAGCATGCACCTTCGCACTTTGCCGATCGCTGACGTACCCCACGACCTTTGAAAGCTCACATTTAATGCGCCTGATTATGATACTTAATTTCTGGCTATCGTACGAGTCAGTAGATCAACATGACGACAAGAGGTAGTACACATCAATTCGACGATGTGATCCCATCTGGACGCAACAAGCTCCTATCTACTGCACGTTATCAGACATGCACTTGTATGTACACTCTATGACCGTTTTCGTTAAATAACAGTCTCTAACATTTACTAATGGGGGGGAATCTCTTTTTCGAATTTTATCAAACTTACCGCATTGGCAACATTAGACCACGAACCACCTATATCTTGTGTTGCTCGATCTCAGATCGTTTTTTTCGTCCGTTATGCAACGCTAAGTATACAACACTCACGTTGAAGCTGCGACCACTTCGAGCGCTGGTGTGTTGCACACTAACTGCATGTGCGACATTTTCGACGGCGACAACGTCGACATTCGAGCGTATTCGAGATCTAATGTCATCCGTCCTCAAGTTTCGATACAACTAAACCAACTTGTTAGTCTCACTGCATGTTAAAAAAGACTGGGAGTCGTCCCTAATGATGTAAGCTAACTATTAAAGTAGCTAACTATTTCCGAGGAAATGTTTATAAGTTAAAATACACCCAAGTGATTGAAGGAATTTGTACACATGCCTGCGAGTCGTGAACTTACTAACAAGAAGAAAGATCACAAGGATCGACAGCAACGCGGTCCCGTAGGCATAGGTATAGGTGGACCAAAGAAGGGTAGGTTTATCAGATGGACTGATCGATTGCCTAAAGTTCATCAATGGCTGACGTGATATGGTTTGACTATTTTTTCTCTAGGTGGAGCTGGAGCTCATAATTGGGGTGTGCCAACAGCAGCTTCAGTTGATGAAGAAGAAGAAGTTGTTGCAGTGGACCGCAATGATCCAAATTACGACAGTTTAGGAGAGAAGTAAGGATGATCGAGTTTATACCATACGCGGTAGGGCTTTGAAAGCAAGCGGGGATTATCAAGTATTTGAGAGAAAAGAGAGATAAAGTTTTATAGGATTGAGAAATGGCTTGTTATCATGAATATTAAATTGGTTATAGCCCATTATTGCTATATATATTAGTTTTTGCAAGGAATTGTGTTGTTGTTTGTTACACTATTGACCATGTCGTCCGAAGGTAAGCACACGATTCTACCCATCGAATTACCAGTGTCGTACCCATGGCAATGCCATCCATAGAAGTAAATGCGTCGTCTGTATCAGTAATTCCCAATACCATGTGGCAATCTCCTTGTCTTATTCAAAAAGGTTCTCTTGTGATTCTTTTTGAAACACATCAGTCAATTACGTATTGTTATGCTCAATGCAATGCTATTTATCAAAATCGTCATGGTGCTTTTTATCATAACGATATGATCGGTCAACCATTTGGTTCAAAACTTCTCTCTCGAAAGAAAAATGCACGTGGCTATTTAATTCTCTTAGCACCAACTCCAGAACTTTGGAGTCGAGCACTGCGTCATCGTACTCAAATTGTTTTTACACTTGATGCAAGTGCCATCATGTTTGCTGCTGCTTTGCACTCGGGCTCACGTGTCATCGAATCTGGAACAGGTAGTGGCGCCCTCACGACAAGTTTTGCACGAACAGTAGCACCTGATGGTCATGTCTATACCTTTGAGTTCAATGCGCATCGAGCAGAAATTGCGCGTCAAGAATTTAAGCGCAACAATCTTGAGAACGTTATCACGGTGCAATGCAGAGACGCGTGTGCGCAAGGATTCCCTATGGAGCTGAAGGGTTCAATCGATATGGTATTTTTAGACTTGCCTAGTCCCTGGATGGCTGTTGGTCATGCGGCGAAGATGTTGAAGCAGGGAGGATTCTTTGCGTCCTACTCGCCATGCATTGAGCAGGTTCAGAAAACGTGTGATGCTCTTAAAAGCGCTAATTTTGAGTGTAAGTGTAGTCGGTCCTTTAAACATGAGCTAGAGGTGCAGTTGTTTTTATTGCTGACTGTGAGTGTGTTTTATAGTAATTCGTACAATTGAGACGAGGCTGGTGCCGTACAATTCGCGACGAATTGATCTTCCCGTGCCGGACTTTGGATTCGGTAAAAAGGTGTCAACGAGGACTGAGGCTACGAAGATGACGTGTGTCGAGAAGGAGTTGAATGAAGACATGAGTAAAGACACTAAAGAGGAAAAAGAACTGGAGCGGAAGAAAAACGGCGGATGCAAGCGCAAATATATCCCTGGTGGTGTCGGAGATCACATTGTGGCCAAGAAGGATGATGAGATTCGCGGACATACTGCATACCTTACGTTTGCTACCAAGTTTTTCGAATAAATGGTTTCATGTTGCTTAAGAAAGTCATTTTTCGTGGCTTTGTACCGAATGACGCAGTACTGGGATGGAGGCAGTTAAGGTGTATATAACACATAGCGTGTTTGTATTCTTTTGAATCAATGTAGCTGCGGACACGTTTAAAGCAGATTTGCTTGTTACATGTTTGGATCATTAATTTTGAAGTAACACTGCAAATTTTGTAACGAAAAGCGACTGCTAAAATGAGATATCACTTGATCTTATGACGCAAAGGTTGAATGATCACCCATACAAAACGACCTTTGTCGAGGACCTGGAATTACATGGAACCTGCAGACTTTCAAAGCGTTTCAATTCGCTATACTCGATTGACATGGAATGTCCAATAGAATTTTTTTCTATCCGAAAGCGATCACGAATTGGAACACAAGCATTCAGATAATTGAATCCACTCCAGCTTAGACCCTTGGTCATGTGTCTATTGTGAATTCAAAATGCCTAGCAAGAATGACAAACTCATTTCGAGCAGAAATCATAGTTTGTGAGACTTACAAGTTGTAGATGATGCTGAGGCGTCCATTCAGCAAGACCACACGGTCTGCCACGTCCTGGTACTAAAGTATTCTCTTGTACGAGCAGTTGAATGCGTCATTGTCTTGCAAAACAAGCGAGAATTTTGTCAATGAACATCGCATCGGCTGGCTCGATGAAAAGCTGACCGATGGATGCGCTCTGATACATTTGCTGACGAGCACTGCATTGACTGTGACATTGCAAAACATAGAGCCATTCTATCCAACGAAACCGAAGTGGAGGATATGATGGCATCCTTAGTGATACTCGGTCGGTCACTACAAATCAATTCCACCATGATTCCGAATGAGAACGGCGTCCGCATCATAAGGCGCTGGCAAAATTCTGTTCGTGTCAGCCCCTTGGACCCCCTATAAAACCCATACGATGCTACCGACGATGTTGCTTGGAGTTGTTGTTGTGTTTACTCAAGGTGTTGTTTACCAGCGTCATAAAGAAGTGATTACGATTGTATGATCGTTAGTTGTCATGTTGACGTCGACGTTTTCCATCACTGATAGTCTTGTTGACGAGGGCTTGAGGTGGCTAAGGAGCGCTATGTTACCATCATGATCGTCTGATGATCGGTATCACAAGGCTATAATTAGATCGTATCATCATACATTCACCTTATCTTTGGTGGAATTTAGTTGCGTCGTTTGTAAAACGTCCATGCATGAACACTAGCAACAGGGAGATTGCACTCGACAGTATCAAATTTACGGATTCAAGTGTGAAGACTTCGGTACCGAGAGATATGAAGGCGCAGAAGGTGGAAGAGATGGCGTTTGCAAATATAGACATCGAACGAAGGAACTTCTGTGGACTACAGCGTGATGACAATTCGGGCTGGACTATTAAATTACCAATAACCAACGCATAGCCTGCATCAGGTCTTGTTCTTAGTTGTGGTCAATCCTCATCATCAGCAACAACACAAAATACGCTATCAGTGACAGCAATGCGAGGCAAATTAATAGAGCAAGAGGAGAATCACACAATGAACAGATAGCAACAAACAGATAGCAACAAACAGACATTGGGTTTTCGCTGAAAAGCGTTATTTCAGCAATGAGATAGCACGAACGAATTCTAACTTAATGTTCTTCATCCTTGTCCATGGTTGCCTAGCCATCTCATTCATCTCTACTCTTTCTCTCCTGCAGTACGTCCGCTCACTTGCTCGTAAAAGTGCGTGCTTTAGAATACTTTCTATCAAACTTAGGTACTTGTCCAACGTAAGAGCCTTGCGGATTATCTTCTTAAACATTGGTTTAGAAAACTCAGAAAGTCTGAGAAAAGCAAAGTCCCGTTTAATGTCATCAACTACATTATTTTCATTGACCTTCACCCTTTCTTCAATGTCAATTTCCGACATTGATATGTCGCGACGACCATGATCGGTCGGCTGGACTCTCTCAGCTGTTTCAATTTCTATCAACTGCGCGTGGCTAGCGGTCAAGACCGCTTTGTTACTGCAAATGAGAGCAATTGACAACAGGATTTGAAACACCTCATTAACGATTAGATCGATAATTTCGTGTGGAAAGCGTGAGGAAAATGCAAAATCAATTGATCCAAAACGTAGGGACCATATTGCGCGACGACAAAGTTGGATTGCATCCTTGGATATGATTGCAATTACAGTTTTTGGAACTAAATTGATCGAGGCGATTCAATATTGGTGTGTATTACTTGTGTCCGATCGTGTCCTGTCTCATCAATACGAAATAATTGCGATTACTAGCAATTCCAACTTCATAAGGGCGAGTTTCAGAATAGAACTAATATTTTACGTTCAACTAATGTAAAATAAGCTACAGCAATTAATAAAGGTAAAACTAAAATTAAAAATTTTAAAATGGTATATATTATTAAACAATATTTTTGTTTAATAAAATAAAAAAGAAACGGTTAGGACATTGTCTTTTCACGTCAAAAATACGAGTTCAATTCTCGTAAAGGGTATAAATATTTCTTACCCTTTTTTTCTTTTGCGCCGGCAACGAGAGTATCGACGACCCTCGAGCACCGCGTTCCTATTCTCAATGCGATAGTTCGACCCGGGATTTTGTTTACGGCTGCGGTCTTCGAGCCCTCCAGCTGGGCGCTCACACAGCTGGATCATCTTTACAAACAGTTCCTGCGGAAGACGTCCAACAAGATTGAGACCGGGAAACACAAAGTCGCTCCAGGCCTCCTTTATACCCCCCGTAAGGCAGGCGGCATCGGTCTCGTTTCAATCCCCGTCGCCATCAAAACCCAGCGGGTGAAATACGTGCTACTGGCACTTACTCGGCCGGAGGATGTTTACTCCTCAGCGTGGGTGTCCTGGATTACGCATGGTGCAAACATCACGGCCATCAGTCCGCATCGACCGAGCGTAAACACGTTGTATCACCGTCTTCCGAGCGGTATCCTGACGTACTTCATGAGTTTGGATGCAAGGTGACGCCAACACCCGCGCAAACGGAGGACATCCTTGCACGGGTACAGGACCATCTACCGACCCTTCGGTCATCATCGACCAGCTGGTGGGATGAAAAAGACTGGGTGCTGCATCTCTCTGTACCCATTCCCTGTCGGCCTCAGACAGTCAAGTTTTGGCACCAGGAGATCGCAGACTTCTGGCAGACTTTCCGGTGGAGTGGAAACCCTTGGATTCTCACACCACAAGCATCGACGCTGTCCCGGTCCAAGTATGACAGAATTTGCGATGTCTCCTTTGAAACACTCCATATACAGCGGACAGGACCCCAGAAATACGTCTTCGGCGGCATTTGCACGGACCTCCTCGCCCCCCACCATTCCCTGCTAAACTTCGAGAATGGGCAATCATCGTCTTACTTTCGTCGCCGTCACTAGACGTCGAAAATCCGGTGGGGTGCCCGGCCCCGCTCCGGCTACGGCGTCAGCCCCCTTTCACATAAGCCATCGCATGGGTGCAGGTCGGGCCGGGCAGGGTTCGGGGCACTTCTTCTTCTCTCTCTGCAGACTTCTCCTCACCCTCAGAGTTTGGGAGCTCATTCAATGCCACAATGGTCTCACTTGGAGCTCGACGGGGAACCGCCGCCGGTCCAGGGGGAACGCAGGAACTCACCCAACTCGCGGAGCGCAAGCTCATCCAGAATGGGGTCGTCTTTTCTTCAATCTACAGGTCAATTAATATCCATGGTCTGCTCCGCCAATGGAACCCAATCGCCGCGTCGTCTCTTTCGTGAAACGGCAAGCGTTCAAGTCGTCTAAGCGGTGTCTTAACAACACCGTTGAAGCAGGTCATTGATAGACTAGGCACCAAGAGCCAGCAAACGCGGTGGCAACGTGCAGCTCTCGATGTCTCGCCGGGTCATATATGGGGTCACGGACACGCGGTGACGATATATCAGCAATGGACACGGTACCGCCACGCTACCGGTCAGCTAAACTTGTGGTATCAGGACCGGCCTCCGGACGGGACTTGCACGTATCGGGAATGTGTCGGACAGAAGGAGGCCCAGGAGCATCTTTTCTTGGGAATGTCCCCGTGCTCAAGCACTTTGGGCCAGGCTCATCAGTCATTGGGGGAGCACACCTCGTAAGCCTTACCACCTACTGAAATGGCTCAAATACTGCACAAACCGTAGCGTGCCCTCCCTTTCACCGCGGGTCACAGCAATGCTGTTAGCCCGCTACCCAGACGACATGGATCAATTCGCCACGGCCTGAAGGACGATAAGCTTTTCTTCTTGTATCCACTTGAACAGCTCCGCTTTCTCTGCAAACGTCATCCCCTTCAATTCCTGCGCAACTTTTACATCTTGCGGTGTCACTTTCTTGGCACTTGGATCAAAATTGATGCTAACTAATGCAATCACCTTCAGCAACATCGTCAACAGCATTTTGTGTATATTATGTGTATGCTACCTCCTTCAATCTTTCGGGCACTACCGTACATTTACTATCAACAACTAGATTACCATCAGCAAAGTCGATTTCTTTCTACTCAGCGTCCATGTGCTGGACCAGGTCAGAGTGGTGAAGAGTTGGTGTCATACCGCTTCATTACCCAAAAGTACGTGAACGTTAGCAGGTAGACGTAACTTTTGTACATTCAAACAAATACAAGAGAGAAATTCATTGAAGGCCGCGACACTGGAGCGACGTATGTTGAAGCTCAACGTCTCATGTAGTACAGAAGGAAGAGTATCGAGATATCGGATTTTGCTTGGACACGATACGTTGAAAATATTGCCGGGTGTCATTCATGTGGACCACAGGTTTTCAAATATTTATTATCTTTACTTTGTAAGAATGAGTCAATAACAAAACAGTGAAACAGTCGGTCCTAATAACGAAGTAAGCAACATACAGTACTTATGTATACCGTTACTATCTCTCCTTGTTTACTCTACGTGGCTTTCTCTCTTTTTTTCATCATGATAATCATCATCATCATGATTATCATGATC